GAAAGAAATGTAGTGAAAGATTATTTTAAAGATATAATCAGTATTCCTTCCAAAGATGATGATTCTATCGACTTAAGTTTTGCCAATACTAGCTTTACTACTGTATGATAAATTTTGTTTAATTAAAATTACTTACTTGTCTGACTGATTGTTTGGTTGATTTTTATATTTTGCTAATAAACACTAAGTTTTTTTTTCTCTGTTTATTTTACGAGTCAACACTAACAAAACTAAATATATTCAATTTGGAAATTATAAAACAAAACCACAAAAATTGAACTTAAGATATAAGGACAAAAGATTAGTAGAGGTAGTAGATACACAATTCCTAGGTGTTACTATTGACCGGTATGTAAATTGGAAATTACACGTACAAAAAGTATGCAAAAAGGTTAATCAATTTGTTTATGCACTGCGTAAACTTCAAAATGTAGCAGGTCCACAAGCAGCACATATTGCTTACTACGGGTACGTTGAATCCGTCTTAAGATATGGATTACTCTTGTGGGGCAACTCAACTGACGCAAACAAAGCCTTCCTAAGTCAGAAGAAATGTATTCGTGCACTGTGTAATGTAGGCCCTCTTGAAAGCTGTAGACCCCTGTTCAAGGAAAAAGTATTCTCACTTTAAATGGTTTATTATATATATTAGAAATCTGTGTTTTCATTAAAAATAATTCTAATCAATTTGTTACCGTACAGGAAAATAATAACTCTCTAGCAAAAAGAGATCCGACACGTCTACTCATGCCATCTTGTAAAACTACATTATTCCAGAGGAATTGCCTCATAATGTGTATCAAGGTTTATAATAAAGTAAATATTCGTGACAGATTAGGCAATAAAATTTAAAGCGTGGTAATAAATACTGCCTTTTATAAAAAAAATTTTTTTTTTTTTTTTTTCTTCTTTTTTGGTATACTTAAAAATTTATTTTTCTATTTTCTTTTTTTTTATAGTGATTATTTCATTTTAATTTTAATTTGTTTATTAACATATTTATTTTAAACAATTTTTACGTATGCCGCAAAAGGCAAAACATGTGGAAACAAATGTTGACTGTATCCATCCGCCTGTACCCATGTTTTAGCGAAATAAATGATTTGATTGATAGATTGATTTAAAATACAAGTACTTACATATATTTTATCCTCTATTCACATTTGAAACATAACACTAAATAAATATCTTTCACAGTACGCTATCCCCGTGTCGTCAGAATCCAAAGGTTTCTCACAGGTCAAGCCGACGGCACAGAACATGAAATAGCAAACGTTTTTCCCCCGAAGGGATAAAAACGATATATTTCATGTCTTGCCTAGGCTTGACCAGGTAAGCCCTTGACGACTCTAATATCAAGGTACTAACGAACACCGCGTTCTCACCGCCCGCGCACTCCTGGAAGGGTACGGGGAGCAAGTATAGAGCGCGGCTAGACGGCACGGGGAGCTATGACACGTATGTATCAAGGGATAAATTGAAGGATGTAATCTCACAGGTCAATCCTAGGCAAGACATGAAATATATCGTTTTTATCCATTCGGGGGAAAACGTTTGCTATTTTGTAAATGTTAGAAACGAAAATAAAGAAATATTGATGTGTCAAAAACGTTAATCAAAAGTCTCAAATGTGTAAATTAGCTCAGTCTGTCAATACAGCGAATAGGGTTTGTAGTAGTGGTAATACGACGTAATTGCTCCCGGCGACATTGATCCTCGTACAAAATAAGATTGACAGCCATTCTATTGTGTATTATATGGGGGCTATCCATGTTAAGCAGTGAACTTTTATAGGAAGTAATGGTAATGATATTGAAATTATTTAGTCTCCACCGACCTCATTCCAGAAGCTGCAGTATGCTGGTAATGGTGTTATATAAAATGTCCAAATTTTTTATATATGTCCCACTACTGGGCACAGGCTCGGGCTTGTGCCCAGTAGTGGGCACATTTATTTAAGGATAAGGAAATGTCCACCGCGTTGCTCCAAGACGTGGTGGCGAACTTCGCATATCTTTAAAATATTTTTTTTATTTCGGACATGCAGGTTTCCTTAGAAGATTTCTACGACAATTGTATCTGGAGGAAGGAATGTCTTCAGAATACTACTTTACATTTATATCCTATAAAAAAAAACAAAGAGAAAGATGCAATACAGTAACAATACATAACATAATACATAAGCACTCACGCCTGTCACCCAGAGCAGAGACTACAGACTTCCATTTGGATCCTGTAACATAACGCTAATCAATAAACAAATGACTAATTTTGACACAGAACACTATTACTCCTATCGGAGAATTTTGAAGAAAGAATTCCATGTTTATAAAATAAAATTAATTTGAAATTAGAATTCTCAGCCAAACTAAAATTATTTTGATTATAAATGGCCAGTGCTGCTGAACGGCAATTTCATAGATTTATTACGGCGGCTGTACACCCGACGAGAGCACTCGCCATGCCTCTCGCACGAGAAGCGCTTCACGAGTATGACCTTGTACACTCTCGTTTATTCAGTTACGGTGAGGAACGGCGAGGAGATGGACGCATGATTTCGGACGGATGGATTTTCATCTTTGTGGTAACGATGCGTGGGCTCCTACAAAATAGATTCACTTTGATAAATTCAAGAAAATTGAGTTTGCTCTCTTAGTTCCACATGATAAGTTTGTGGTAGGATAACCAGATGTACTGCACGCGAAAACGTCTTGCGGTAGACTGAATGAAGCGGGAGTGTACAGTGACGCACTTGTGTCCGCTTGCGAGAGAAGGCGAGGCCCTTTGACTCGCGCACCAAAAATCGACACGAGCGCGAGAGCACGCTAGGCGAGGCGAGGGAAGGCCAGGCTCAGCGAAAGTATCCTGTACACTCTTGTCCTCGCCTAGCCTCGTGGGTTCTCGTCGAGAGTGTACAGCCGCCATTATAAAGGATAAAATCGCATAGAAACCCGAATGTCTCAAAAAATAGGAGATATGCCCAGCTGTGGGATGCTGATGCTCGTAAGGATGTATGTATAACAATCATATCCTTCAAAATGTTCAGCTGAGTAGTGTATGTTCTAAAGACCGAATTTCGGTCACGATGGCCAGTCTCAACGTAGACTAGCCATCTGCGCAGGACAGGATTGTAGTGTCCGAGTGTGTACCCAAATAGGAGCACTCTCTATTCCCTAACTCTCATAGTCCGATGGAACGGTAATCCGACACCACCAGAAAGAGATCAGGCGCAGGACCAACTGCTTTACGTGTTTTCCGAGGTGCAGGGGTGAAACACTCCGGGCTACTACTGAGAATTTCTTGAGAGAAAACCGAAATAAATGATTTTGACCCGACCCGGGACATCAAGACCAGATGTCGTACTTACGACCACCAGATCGACGAGACAGTCATCTTGATAAATACGGTGAAACTGAACGGTCTGAAATGAAAACAACAAATGCAAATATACGCATGAGCAGACACTATCAGATTTGTTTTTATACATCACTGTACTATATTTTTGTTTTATATCTCATAATACTAACATATATTAATGGCTTAAGTATATTGGGAGAAAGTTTTAAATTGCGAACTTGTTTCTTTTTCTTATGACCTCCCAATGCAATCTCTACTTAAATACTACGAGGGGCGTTCAATGTGTTCTCGGTATTAGGGTGATTTGCTAATAATGTGCGTAATTAAAAAAACATTCGCTAAGGACACTACCTGAGGGAATAAATATAAAATTTCGTCTTGATAACTTCATTACTTCTTTGCCCATCGCTATTTGTACGACGTCCAAGTCGTCAAAAATAGATTCATCCGCAAAGGCTCGGTGGTACCAGCCGGTGGCGGCCCTAGCAATCATCGGGCATCTGACGCGGCCGTGTGTCGCTCAACACTGCAGGTCTACCAAGAACACCGGTCACGCCTGAAAACATCGCAGCTGTGCTTGATTATAGGGTCCCAAGCAGGTGGTAGTACCCAGCCTCCTTCTCTATTGAAATTAGGATGTTTTTTAATTTCAATAGCCTCACGTATAATCCTTGGTAGGAATCGCTGTTCTTTCGCGAGGATTTGTGGTCTATCAAATCTGATGTAATGGTTGGGGCCGTCTAGGATATGATCACAAACTGCAGACTTCCCGGAACGTTGATGCTTCACATCAGCTATATGTTCTTTTACGCGGGTTCTAATTGATCTTTTTGTTTGTCCTATATAAGAGAGACCACATTCACAATCAATCTTGTACACTCCTGCATCTTGTAGAGGATTATGACTTTTGACGGATGGTAGGAACTGACTAATCTTCTTCGGCGGCTTGTAGAATGTTCCAATAGAAGCTCGCTTCAAGATGTAGCCAATCTTGTCTGCGACACCTCTGATATATGGTAGTACAGCAGGCACACGCTCGACTGTGGCCGGCTTCACTCGGACACAGTGACGTAGGCGCGGGACCCGAAGCTTGTTGTCGTGCAGAACTTGCTTAACGTGCTGAAGCACGGCGGCCAGGTGTTTGCTGTCACCGATCCCTCGTGCTCTCTGAAACAAAGATTTGCCCACGATAGCTAACTGTGAAGGATGCTGGTGATATTTACCGTTTTAATATCGATTTGTATGGATCTGGGTCTGGGATTTCTGATGACTAACACATCTAGAAAAGGTAAGGAATTATTTGCCTCCTAACTCCATAGTAAATTGAATTTTAGAGTTTATGGAATTAAGATGTTTTAAAAATGCAGTTACTTACTTTGTCTGATGATAAAATTGTGAAAGTATCGTCTACGTACCGTTTGTAGATCCTTGGTGTAAAACTCTTCCTTCCACAATAGATAGCCAGATGTAAGGCAATGTCTGAGTAATACTGCATATTCTGCTGGCACGTTATTTTCCTCTAGTTTCCTAGTTATAATTGAGATGCAGTCTTCAACAGGTAGGCATATAAATAGAAACTGAACATCATAACTGAGCATGGTTTCATTGTCAGTAAGACGTAGGTCTTTTATCTCACTGACAAAATGGTATGAATCCTTAGTGTGTGCTCTTGTGTGTCCTCTGAGTGGTTTATCGTTTGTTTATGATTTGGCGGCAAATTGAACTTGTCTGTGTCACGTCAGCATGAATTTAACGCGAGAAAATTTTCATACAATGATTTTTATGACTTTCGATGTCATTTAAGTCAACAAGAAAGTTATGATAGACTTCTATTGGCCTTTCACGATGAAGCCCCATTTCGTGCCACTGTTTATAAATGGCTTTATGAGTTTAAGCGTGGTCGCACTAATCTTACCAATGATCTGCGTGAGCGACGGCCTTCTACGGCAACGACTGAAGGAATAATCAGTGTTATGCGGTGTTATCATACGCCGCACAGAGACTGACAAAAGAGTGACTTATCAGCAGATTTGGACAAGCTTCGGCATCGGTATGACTCAAGTACACAAAATCTTCCATGAACATTTAGCAGTCGGAAAGCTTTGTGCCCGGTGGATATCTCATAATTTGACAGAGGCCCAAAATCTCCGTCGTTTTAATTAGTGTCGTGAAATGGTTCAAAGATTTAACGGAGGTGACTCAAATGCTGTGTTCGACATACTTACGGGTAGCGAAAGCTGGATTTATTGTTATGATCCTGAAACTAAGACACAGTCTGCTGTTTGAGTGTTTCCTTCCGAGGAGTTGCCAACTAAAATGAAGAGAAGTCGAAGCGTGGGAAAAAAATATGGTGGCCTCGTTCTTTTAAATGACAGGTCATTCACGCAACAAATGTTTTAGGAGATCGAAAAACAGTTACTGCAGAGTGGTACACTAAGAATAATTGTTCGCCACTTGTCTTGGAAAAAGTTCGGGAGAAACGACCTCGCAGTAGGATCCTCCTTCACCACGACAACGCCTCGTCGCACACCGCCAAGCAAACAATCGACTACTTGGCGACGTCAGACGTGGAATTACTGGGTCACCCACCCTATAGCCCCGACCTCGCACCTTGCGATTTTTATTTATTTCTGAAAATAAAAGAAAAACTTCGAGGAAAACGTTTTATGGACGCCGAGGAAGCAATGGCCCTTTTCAAAATGCCTTCGAAGAGACACCTAAAGACGAGTGGGCAGTGTTTTTTTCAGTGGTTCAATCGGATGCAGCGATATTGATGTATATGGATACAATTTTAAAAAGATATAATAAAACTATATTATATAATAAAACTTTGTTCAGTTTTTGATTTTCTAAGAACTTTCAGTGTCACCCTCGTATATACAAGAAACCTCAGGCTTAATTAAGTGAAGGTAACCTCGGGCGCATTTCTGCCGGTGATTGTGTGGTAAAAACATTTTTTCCATTTTGAAATGCGAACTTTTTATTTTACGATTAGGAAGTATGAGAATTACGATTAAATATCTAATAAAAGGCGACCTCGAACCGATAGGAGGGTAAAATGGTCCCATTAGCGACTTGCAAGTAGATGGATAAAGGTGCTATTGTGAAGAAAAATAATAAAATAAATACGCTATTATAATTTCTCATATTCATATTGTATTTAACACAAAATATAGACATCACATTTAAAATGCTGAACAACAAATAATTCTAACATATAATATTAGCTCTGTGCATTTTGTCTACTGAGTACATGCAGTCCTTTACATATAGAGGAAACACGGGTTATACAAACACGTTAATCGATTTTTGGAATGGAAAACAAATTCAAATTTCGTGTTAAAAATAGTACTAAAAATTAAAGATTCATTTATAAATTAACAACAATAACAACATAATTACAATTATTTTTGTAATACATATAGTCGAACTGTGGTGTGATTTAATTTTTATATTAAAATATTATTCTATTTTTTATACATAGATTGTTCGTTTTCAGAACATTAAAAGTAGAGGAGTTTTTTTTTTACTGACGACCCATGATTATTTTAATATGTATTTATTAACAATTGAGTGATTTAGCAATGTATAAGCCTATTTTAGACAAAACATCAATATATATTGTCATCGAGCACAAAAATATCTAAATATCGACAGAAAGTCGAGGTTTTTAAAATAAAATATACGGTACAAATAGACTAGATATTAAAGTTTTATATTAACATTGCTTCCGCAATATATTTTATTGAGGACCACATTAATAAAAATATCATAAAACTCATTCTTCAAAATCTTTTATTGTTTCAAATAATGCTAGCTTTAGAGATGGGCAGCTCTGAATGGATACGAATCTGCAGAAACTAATTATTTTTGCCTTTTTCGAGTTATTCTATATTATTGGTTAAAAATCATTTATTACAGATTTTTTAAAAATATTGAACTTAATATACTTCTCCGTATTATTCGTATTATTATCGTACTTTACATACTGTTACGCGCTCCAGTCAACGATACACTAGCGCCATCTAGTGTCAGGAACGAGAGCGAGGGGAGCATTGAGAAAATGACATCACAAATTACTCAACCGACAGCGCCTAGTCGAAACGAGTCGCACGCGGAACGGCAAAGCGCGTACATGTGTTCGCTTTGAGCGTAAGCGAAAGGTCATTGTACGATAAGACAATGGCGTCCAAAGTGGTAAAATGTACAAATTGTAATATTGTGATAAGCGAAGTGCTTGCCTTTATACAAAACAAGGCAGATGTGATGGACGAGGAGAGCATTGTCCGAATTTGTAGTAGTGCCTTTACAGCTGAAGATATTACTAATGCAAAAAGTTTGCTTTTCGAGTCATTGCCCTCAGGTAAAAGAAAAAATATAAGACGTAGAGATGGAAAATTAACTCGGCGTACAGATGGGAAATCCCAAAGGGGAGTTAGAAGACATCATTAGTCTTTTCAAAGAAACAGACCCTGATAGTGCACCCATTTTTGTTGCTCGTGACCTACAAAAACTTCCGCCGGTCACTTTCGATCATGTAGATGTAACTCGACTGCTGAAGGATATAGTTCTGTTGCAACAGGAGGTTAAGATCATCAAGGATAATTATGTAACCAAGACGCACCTAGAAGAGCTAAAGAAAGATAAATCTTTCTTAAAAACATCCACATCACCAGCTCATCATCATAAGGTAGGTAGAAGGTGCAGTGCATTCTTGTTGGATGTGGGTACTACGTTCGGCGACAGTGGGCCGATGGGCTTGTCGCACGAGTTATCAACAGCTGATGTACCGTTACAAACAACTGACGTACAGACAGAGACGGAAAAGATAGCTATCGCACAAGTAGCTAGTCGTGCTCGTGATAGTGTCGATGCACTCGCACCTGTGTCAGATATGCATAAGGCTGACCTCTTTACATCTGGAGGCGTGACTGCTTATAACGGTGCGGATGGGCGGCAATCATTCAGCGCAGGAGGCGCTAAAACAACTCCAATTCCAATGCAGAACTCACCGAGTAAAAGCAGGATGAATGATGACAAAACAATTGTAGTGAATAAGTTCTCTAACAATAATAACGCAATAAAAGATACATCTTGTGATGGTAATTTTCAGTCTTCGCTAACTATGGCCGAAATATTGAAAAAAGGTGAAGCTTGGAAAAAATGAAGAACCGCCAGAGGCCTGGATAAAAGTTCAAAAGCGCAGATTGCGTAACCGTTTTATAGGTAAGACAGGAAAAGCAGAAATAAAACCTGAGGAGAAATTTAAATCAGCGGACTTGAAAATTCCGCTATTTATATCTAACGTACATAGAGAGACGCTAGAAAAAGATATCGTTGATTATATTAGGAATAAAACTAACGAGTTAGTGACACTAGAAAAAAGTGACTATGAAAAAAGATAAAGGATATAATGCGTTCAAATTATACGTGTCCAAACAAAAACTTGCTGTCTTTTTAAATGACAGTCTTTGGCCGGACGGCATCTCATTCAGAAGATTTGTGCATTTTAAGTACAGACATCAGGAGACCTCAGATAATGTGTAAAAAAAAAAAAAAAAAATCGTTCATGTATAGTACGGCAAAATTTACTACTTTTAACTGCAAATCTGTTAAACGCTCTTTGGAATGCGTAAGACACCTGTGTGAAAAGTCTGACGTGCTAGCGCTACAGGAGACATGGCTTCTACCTGATGACATAACGTTTCTGGGCGAGATACATCAAGACTTCAGCTATACCGGTAAGTCAGCGGTTGATACGTCGTCCGGTATACTCACAGGCAGACCCTATGGTGGTGTGGCCCTCTTGTGGAGGAAAAATGCGTTTGATTGTGTCAGTATGGTCGAATGTAGTAGTGTGCGTCTCACAGCAATTAAAGTGTTCCATAGTGAACGAACTTACATAATATTCTCGGTTTATATGCCAACGGATTCAGTAGACAATTTAATAGAATTTACATCGTGCATGAGCGAGATAAGTGCTATTATTGAAAATGAAAATGTCGACTCTGTATTTGCGTTAGGTGACTTTAATTCTCATCCCGGTACATTATTTTGTAACGAAATGATAAATTTTTGCACGGATCAGCAGTTGATTTGTGTTGATTTGGAGGTCCTCCCAGCGGGCAGCTATACTTACACTAGTGATGCGCACGGTTGTCGGCGCTGGTTGGATCATTGCGTTGTAACTGAGGCCGCAAGGCGCTCAGTCATAGATGTCACTGTGCTGTATGATACCTACTGGTCGGATCATGTTCCATTGCTGATCGAGTGCAATATTAACTTATTGAGATCAAAAAATATGGTAAGCTATTTCTGTAATAATAAAATAATTTGGGGTGTCAGAAATAATAATCAAATAGAAACTTATAAAAAATTGTGTCACTCTAAATTAAAAGACGTAAATTTTCCACAGGAGTTTATGAATTGTTGTAATAATATATGTATTAATGATAATCACAAATTAATTTTAGATAACATGTACGGTAATATTGTTACTATTCTTAGAGAATCAGCTCAGGCAAGTTGTAATAACAAAAGGAATAAGAAATATGTTGTGGGGTGGAATAAATACGTTAGAGACGCCCACGGGGAGGCTCGACTTGCCTTTCAAACGTGGGTCTTATACGGTAAGCCATCTTCGGGTTATTATTATAATAAAATGTGTGAAACAAGACGGAATTTCAAGTCAAAGTTAAAATGGTGTCAAAATCACGCAGAGCAATTAAGAATGGATAAGATCGCATCAAGTCATTCGCAAAAGAAATTTAAAGAATTCTGGAATCTTACGAATAAACTGAATCCCAAGTCGAGCCTTCCCGCTAATATTCAGGGTCACAACCAGCCTGGAGACATAGCCAATCTATTTAAAGAGCATTTTAAAGTAGAGTCACCGCGGGGTCCGTCATCGAGTTTAATCGATGGTGGACGTTTTGCAGGTAGATCGTGTGTAAGGATCTCTGCCAAAGAAGTTTTTGAAGTAATTAATTCTATGACTAGAGGTAAGTCACCAGGGCATGATGGGCTTAGCATTGAACATCTGGTACATGCTGGTGCCCATCTGCCAAGAGTGTTGGCTATGTTTCTAAGTTTATGTATAGCTCATCAATATCTTCCGACTGATCTCATGAAGACAATTGTGGTGCCTATCATTAAGAACAGAACAGGAGATATATCAGATTTAAATAATTACAGGCCAATCTCACTAGCCACCATAGTGGCTAAGGTGCTGGACGGTCTGCTTGACAGGAAATTGAGAAAACACATTCATCTGCATGATGCTCAATTTGGGTTCAGACCTGGACTATCCACAGAGAGTGCAATTTTATGTCTTAAGCAGACTGTTCGGTACTACACAGATAGGAAAACGCCGGTGTATGCCTGTTTTTTGGATCTATCAAAAGCTTTTGATCTAGTCTCTTATGACATTTTATGGCGAAAGTTACAGGAGGAGACTGACTTGCCCCAGGAAATTGTCTCCGTATTTAAATATTGGTATAGTAACCAAATAAACTATGTGCGATGGGGTAGCAGCTTTTCTGAGGGGTATGGGCTGGAATGCGGGGTGAGACAAGGAGGGTTGAGTTCGCCTACGCTTTTCAGCTTATACATAAACCAGTTGATTGTGGAGCTCAGCAGCACTAAGGTCGGTTGTTCTATAGACGGAGTTTGCATAAATAACATAAGCTATGCAGATGACATGGTACTGCTGAGCCCCACGATAGGTGCACTCAGAAGGCTGCTAGGGATCTGTGAATCCTACGCAAAGACCCATGGGCTCAAGTATAATGTAACGAAGAGCGAGCTCATGGTTTTTAATTCAGGCACTAAAAGGCAGCTCACCATGCCTACTGTTAAACTCTGTGATAGTCCTTTGAACAGAGTCGTCAAATTTAAGTACTTAGGCCACTGGGTAACAGAGGACTTAGAGGATGACTTGGATATAGAAAGGGAACGCAGGGCGTTGGCTGTTCGCTGTAATATGCTGGCCCGCAGGTTTGCACGATGTACTAAAGAAGTTAAAGTTACGCTTTTTAAAGCTTATTGTCAGTGCTTTTACACAGGCAACTTGTGGGTCAGATACAAGCAGCGGACATACAATGTCCTGCGTGTACAATACAATAATGCGTTCAGGGTGCTGTTAGGATTGCCGCGTTATTGTAGTGCCTCTGCCATGTTCGTCGAGGCACACACGGATGGCTTTCATGCCATAATACGTAAAAGGTCCGCTTCATTAATGAATCGACTACGTACCTCTACCAACAGCATCCTGAATACACTTGCTGATAGGTGGGATTCTGCCATTATGAAACACTGGTTGAGCCTACATATAAAATTGAATAAATAAGATATTTGAAACTCGAACGCTCGGTACCTTGCCCGTGTTTACTTGAACATTCTGGATATTTCTTTGCTGATTCAAATATATAGGCGCTGCAAGATGCGATCGAGGTAGTGTTGATTTGGCGAAACAAGCGAAGCTTCGGAGTGGAATTAAGTGAATTAGTGTCTTTAAATTATTAGTGTTTTAACTTTAATTGTGTAAAGTAAATTAAAGTGTTAATTTAGGTAATTTTATCGGCAATTTTTATTGTCACGAACCTCAAGCTCGTAACAATTGGTGTCAGAAGTGGGATAAAATCATGCCGATTTTACCTAAGGAGGAAACGGAGGGTGTCCGTACCCACAGTCAACGCCAGCATGAGACGGACCAGAGGAGATTTGGTGGTGCAACGCCACAGACGTCGGAGGGCCAACTGCCAGCCACGGAGGCTGCGGGCCCGTCATTAGCTCCTACACCTGCAGCACCTGACTTAGGTGCTCTGATGGCGATGCTACAGGAGCAGCTGCAGCGCGGACGAGAGGAACAGGCCCGTCTGTTAAAAGAGCAGCAGGAGGAACAGGCTCGCCGACAGGAGGAACAGGTCCGTCGGTTGGAAGAGCAGCTGCGGGGCGGCCAGGAAGAACAGATGCTTCTCATGAAGGACCTTCACGCTACCTTCGGGAAAGAGATAAGGGAGGTGAAGGATAAGGTTGCTCAACATGATAACCGCCTGTCGGAAGCTGATACCCAAATCAACCAAGTTAAGAAAACGCTGGATGAACTCAAACTTGGGGATGGAACCACAGCTCCCGTAGTAGCTTCAGCACCTTCGCTACGTGGGTTCAAGGTGCCACCGTTTGACGGGACTTCTTCCTGGTCAGCCTACAAAATCCAGTTCGAGGCTGTTATGAAGGCGAACGGCTGGAATAAAAGTCAGGCCATGACTGCTCTCACACTAGGCCTGCGCGACCAGGCCTTAACAGTTCTGGAAGCTCTCGGTGAGGAAGTGACTTATGAGCAACTCCTTGAGGCATTGGAGGCGAGATATGGCGACGCTCACCTGGAACACGTCTTTCGTGCGCAGCTTAAAGATCGTGTGCAGCGCATCAACGAAAACCTGCAGCAGTGGGCTCTAGAAGTGGAGAAGCTGGTGCGAAAGGCATACCGGTCTGTACCTGCGCTCATTGGAGGGAACCTGGTGCAGACATTCATCGACGGCATCCGTGACCTGGAAGTCAGAGCTGCTGTGAGGCTCGGGCACCATGAGACGCTTAAGGACGCCTTGGCCCATGCACTGGAGGTAGAAGCCGTGCGGCAGGATCATCGTTCCCATCGCGTCAGGGAGGTTGCAGCAGCTACAGTTCGCGACCGCAACAAAGGATACAGCCCTAGGTGCTATGGCTGTGGGGAAAAAGGCCATCTTCGAATCAGCTGCCCTAAGCGAACCGTGGAAAGGAGAGTTGATCGATCTCGAGAGGGTAGTGCAGCTAACGACACTGCCTGGCGGCGACAGGATCATCGTTCACCTCACGCTAGGGAGGTTACAGCAGTTACGGTTCGCGACCACAATAAAAGATACAGCCCTAGGTGCTATGGCTGTGGGGGAAAGGGGCCATCTTCGGTCCAGCTACCCTGAGCGCACCCTACGAAGGGAAGGTGAACGGTCTCAGAAAGGAAGTGCGGCTAACAGCACCGCCCAGCAGCAGCAGGAATACGACTTTACTATCAGACACTGCAGCGGGAAATCTCACGGCAACGCAGATGCATTGTCAAGAAGACCTTGTCCTGAAGATTGCAACCATTGTAGTAGGCAAGAGAGTAAGGAGGTGGTATCCGTGAGGATG